AAAAACAGAATTTATTTTGGGAATTAACTATGTAACTCCGAAACGGAAAAACAGAATTTATTTTGGGAATTAACTATGTAACTCCGAAACGGAAAAACATAATTTATTTGGAATTAACTTCGAACTTCGAATGCAGTTTTGAAAGGACAAACGACTCACCACGTCCCTTTTCTTGCTCAACCGCGATAAAATCTGCCATCTGTTCTACATCAGATTTTCTAATGGTGGGGTTATATTACGTTGATTTATTTGAACTGAACTTTATTTTTGTCCACTCACAATTTTCTGTTTTGCGCCTCTCAGCCAGTAGTGACTAAGCTTCGCAGTCGAGCCGGATCGGGTGCTTCCGAACCTTGAGTATTTGTAGGGACTCCTTCATCTTTCTTTTCCGGTGGAACTCTGTTTATGTTGTATTTGAATTTCTTAGATATGCTCTGTATCGCCCGCTTAGGGTTTGAATTGTGAGATCGGAGGCCTTTGTTATAAATTGTTTAACTGCTTTTAAAGCATGCTGCTGGTTGGGTTTATTAACTGTAAATTTTAAGCAGGTTGAAGTTTGGGAAATGTTCAATTTACAGGAGAGACTCTGCCAAATTTTTGGTAGAAAGTCTCGGTCTTTAATAAGTGGGCTCGGCATCGGGGTGATGTCGGTAATTAGGCAGGGTCTGTCCCGGTTTTCGAGGAAATTCAGGGCGGGTCCTGTCACAAGAGTTTAAATTTGGGTTATTTCAAGGTTGTCGAGAGTAAGCATATTTTGAAGGTTGTTCAAAATATGTTTGATTGATTCGCTGTTGGATCCTTGATACTGAGCTTTCTTCCTCTATTTATAGGCTTCAAGGTTTTTAGAAAAAAAGATGGCTGCTTGATAGGTGTTGCTGCTTCAAACCGTAAAGAATACACAAGATAATAAGCGCATGCCTTTCAAGTTGATCAGTGGTGGTGCTTTCCAGTTTCGAACTTAGGGACCACTCTGCAGGAGGCACCACAACGAGTCAGCTTTGGGTTTTTTTTACCATTCTTTACTTATCATGAACTGAATATTCTCTGTCAAAGCATATTTCTTTATTATTTTGCTGGAGATCAGTGTGTACCACTTGAACAAGCATAGCGGTTTGAATTATTTTTTACCCAAAGCTCAAACTGATATCTAATTAGCTCATGTTGCTTGTTAAATGAATTGTCAAAAACCACTTAGATTGATTATAAATACACTTTAATTGGCTTTTATTATAACCTCAGACATTTTCTGTCTAAAATGGAACTGCAGCATCGTACATCTCTTATGTCCAAAGTGGGACTATAGTGTCGTACAATTGTGTTCGAAGCCATGCACTATAGCATCTTCGAATTACCCACCTCAGTTTGAAGCTCTCATTAAGCTATATAAGCATTGGAATTTCTTCTAAATAGAAAGCGTAAAGTGGTTCGCCTACTTACTTTGGGAAGTGAAATGCCAAGGCAGACCTCTATTTTTCTTCGAACACTTTTGTCCGAAGGGCTGGTTGACCATGCTCTGGTCAATGTTTGCGATCGCCTTCTGTCCTAAGGTCTTTGGGCTGTGTTAGTCACTAATTGAGCCTTCAAAGATGCTGAATAAGCTCCTGGTGTTTGGGCCCCACTTTGCTAACCATAATACTAGCCTATTAACTGTAGGAATTACCCTGTGTTAATTTTGGTCTGAACAATTACATATTCATCAATGGATAAGTAATTGAAGGATAGATATTCAGTGTATCTTCTCACCCATTCAATTCAAAATAATGGACTTCTTCTTCTTCTTTTTTTTTTTTTTTTCAGAATTTAAAACAATGGATTTGGTTTTTTAAAATGGTAAAAGGAAACAAAATCTGGACAAAAGGATATGTCTGTAAAAGGAAAATTAAGTGAGATATAAAATGCCAATGAGAATAGGTTAAAGTGTTCATTTGCTCTTTTGACTTCTTTTGGAATGTCCGATTCCAAATCTAGAATTTGGTTCATGTTTATGGTCAAATTCATAACATTGTATTGAATCTGGTTTAAAAACATTAAAATTATTTCTAATTCCATACAATACAATGTTCCCTCTTAGTATTGTGGTCAAATTCATAACATGGTATAAAATGCATTCGCTTGTGTATTGATGTTTTGTCTTTAAAATTTTGAAGATAAGGTGAGTGGGAAAATATGATGGGTATGTGTAAATAGTAGTACTCTTAATACATAGTAAAAGAATTTTAAGTTGTGATTGCCTATATTGCATGGACACAAATACACCACACGGAGACACATCAATTAATTTTTTAATTATATAATTATACTTATATATATATTTGAAAAAACAAATTATTTATGTTCATATACTCCAAATTTACAATATCATATATAGTGAAATTCAAGCTTTCCAAGCCTTTCAAATGTAGTTTATTAATTTTATATGAATTATAATTGAATTAACACATTAGTTGACTATAAGTATGAGTTGACTTGTATTTGGAGAGTGTATTGACCGTGTATAGGGAGTGTTTTGATAATGGACATAAGTGTCCGAGGAGTGTTCGACACTTGGGGTTAGTGGAGTATCGGTGCAACATAGGTAGTTGCACTATCATACTCAAAATAAGCATAGACTATTTAACAAATATTTTGCGGCATAAGTAAGACCATTTAGTCAATGAGGTCTAATCTAGTGGAAAAGAGCTTTAACTTGCAGACAAGAGGTCTTAGGTTTGAACCCCCATGACATCATTTATGTGTGTGTGAGAAATCTCTCTTCCCTCTAATTTAGACTATCGCTTGTACTTTATTTAAAATTAAAAAAAAACCTTCAGTTCAAATGATTAAAAATTTTAATTTACTTTTTGTACCCCCCGTTGAACTAAACTAAAAATTATTTTGCACCAATAGGGAATTTCTAAACTTTTATTGCATTCATTTGGGGATTTTACAGTGTGATTTTTTTTTTATACCGGATTTTTCTTCATTTGGGGTTTTTTTATGGCTAGATTTCAACGAGGATACTATTGCTCCATCACTGGACTCCACTAATATATTGTTTTGAGCAATAGTCTTCTTTTATCTTTTTCTTTGTTTCCTCGTAATTAGTTCAGGTAGTGACTTGTTTTAAGCTCTTATTTTAGACTTTCACGTTGGTTTTTGGATGTTTTCATCCTATCTGCTGTATACTCTTATGATGTTCTAATAAAACATCTTTACCAACGAACAAACAAAAAACTTATATTGCATTCTCAAGTTATTTTTATATGTTTTTTGGGAACTAAAGTTTATTAGAAACCACCAAGGCAGAGTAACACATCATAAAATTGAGACTCGACAAACTGATCTCAGCATCAATGCAACAAGGCCAGAGCCCAAATAAAACATTCTGAATTTATTTTGTTACAAGCGACATAAAACATTATTCGCCTTTTGTAGCTTTACGAAAACCTCTCAATTTCACGGGCCTGTTAATGCTGGCCAAAACCCCGACAATATAATTCTGTGGCGGAGAAGGTAACGACTCATTTTTTGCGGCAATATCAAGCCCATAAAAATCGCCGAGTAGATAAGCGTATTCACACCAATTCACTTTTTGGAAAAGTAGCTTGTTGCTGCTGCTGGTGACGTTCTTGTTGTATTCCAAGACCGCAAACTTGGCGGCATTTATCACATTTGGATCGTTGGGGTCCAAAAGCACCCAGGGAGGATGCACTACTGGAGGCTCTGTTGCACTTGCAGCGGTGACAAAAAGAATAAGCAGTGAGGTAAGAGGGAAGCATTTTTTGAGAGAAGACATCTCTTGCTGCTGTGATTGTTGATTCAACAACTAAGTTTCTGGGATGAGGGAAATCTGACTAGCAAAGCATGGTTTATATAGTTGATTTGAATGCTGGATTCGGTGCATCTTCCAAATTTAAACGACGGATTTTCATGTATTAATGGCAGTCTTTAATTTTTAAGCGGAAACTTTAGGATGGATTTGGGATATCATATGGTGCAACGAACCCAGTCACTTTCGAATACATTTGAAAAAAATGATTTTACTCATTCTTAGTAGTACCGTATCACTATTTTACTCCCACTCAAAATCTGTGATTTGTCTATTTTTATTTTTAAAATTTAAAACTAATTACAGATGGATATGAAATTATACTTTTACTCCTTTAATAAAATAAAAAAAATCTATTTGTTTGTATATTTATGCTTTGTTGCCAACGTTGGATAGTAATTGTCGTCAGTTTTGGAAAACGTGCAGACCAATTTGAACATCTTTGATCTGACTTTTTTTTTGATATCTAGCTTTGATCTGACTTGATTTCTTTTACTGTGATCATCTTTACTACATTAACTTTTGAATCCCATGGTGGATATATGAACTATAGAATGATCCACAATCAAAACAAAAGTGGATTATACAAACTAATAAGACCAATCAATTAGAACAGACACTAATCCTTAAAAACATCATGCCTCTAATTCTCATTCTAATTTTTGTTCCAAACTTTCAACCCTAGTATCACAAATTCACAACAACATGTCTGCACAAACAAAAAGATGGCTTCTTGGCTGTCAGCCAAAGCTTTCACATGGTTTTTTTTTCCCCTTTTACGGGGATGAGAACAACGCGTATGCATGCACTTCACTTATCTGTGAGTATATTGGCTAGACTGTCCCCTCTATACCTCATCTATACATTTATAGTGAGAGGAAAATGATTTTATACGTATTTATCTAACTACTGACTGACGGTAGTGGCTTCATACACATTGTTTCAAGGGTGAAGACAGTATCCAAGAGCAACACTGATAAGCGCCACCATACAAACATATAGTAGAGGAAATCCAACTTGGACTCTTTTCACACTCACCCCCCTTTGGTTCATTTGTGCCTGCAATAAAAGTACATACGAATGTCATGAATAAGAGTTTCAATAAGGTGCAAATACAAGTGCGCAGTGAGAGAGAGGTTAGCATAACCAAAGAGTAGAGCACACAAATTAAAGCACTGCCTCATTTTTAAAAGGTACATATTTCTGCATGCAAATTACAGGAAATTTAAAAGATAAACCATTTCATCCTCAATATAAACCACAAGTAGGCAATTTACAGTAGATGTTCAACAACAAAAACCCAGAGAGCAGTTGGATGAACACAGTAACAAACCAGAAATAGAACTTCAATGCACTTGAATGCTCAAACCATTGTAACATTGGATTATCCAAGCCTTAGACAGCCAATAACCACATCAACCAAACAATTCAGACTTTGGCAGAAACTCATCCCTAGACAAACAACAAAACTACCGGAAAAGAAAAGGATGGGGTGCAAGAAATTACCAATTGCTCCTGTAATTTTTTCCTCTCCTGAATGCTTGAACTCCTCTCCTCTGTCAGCTTTAAAATAGTAACTTCAGCCTGGAAAAAGAAGTAAAAAAGAAAAAGAAAAAGAAAAGGAGCTTGGTTAATATTATATTTTGACAACCATCCAAGTAGTGTATCAGACAAATAACCAATCAGCAAAATTTTAGCATAATTAAGAGGTATACTGCTAGAGTCCAGTTTCTACATGCAAATTACAGACAACGAATAAGAACCACAACAATTGTATCATAAATTTAGAAAGAAAATTATGCAAAGACCAAAACCTGGCTCAGCTTTAATTCAAGTTCATTTAGCTTCGATTTTATCTCCTGAATATCTTTAACCAACTTCAAGTCTTCCACAATCTTTTCTGCATTCAACTCCACATCTCTTGCTAGTTTCAACTCCACAGCCTTTGATGGTTTCAACTCCACATCCTGTGTTGTTTTCAACTCCACATCTTTTGCTGGTCTCAACTCCACATCTTTTTCTGGTCTCAACTCCACATCTTTTGCTGGTTTCAACTCAACATCCCTTGCTGGTTTCAACTCCACAACCTTTGCTGGTTTCAACTCAACATCCCTTGCTGGTTTCAACTCCACAACCTTTGCTGGTTTCAACTCAACATCCCTTGCTGGTTTCAACTCCACAACCTTTGCTGGTTTCAACTCCACACCCTTTGCTGGTTTTAACTCCACATCCTTTGCTGGTTTCAACTCAGCATCCGTTATTGGCTTGGACTCCTTGCTATTAACAGATGTGAACTTTGCATCCTTTGTAACCTGCTTCATTTAAGAACCACAAAACAACATTACATAAGTGAATTCAGCATAATTGCATGATGGAATTGAACCACATAACAATATATCAAGAAACTGTTCCTGAAGGTGCAAAGCCATGCTTCCTAAAAAAATTTACTCAACTGTGTTGTCATAATTAACATATACCTTTCCCTAAGTGATAATGCAATGCTCCTGGAGAAAATGAGAATGATAGAATAAACATAGAATGCAAAATGTAATAACAAGACCAATTAAAGTTTGTAACATTGTGCCGTAAGAAGAGTTTCCCTAACCATGTTCTGTTGAGGGAGGATTGCAACCCCACCAAATACTTGATCATTCAAAGCTTCATGCCCCAGCCCCTGCTTCAAGTCTACCTTGATTGGTGACAGCATTGGTGAGTTGGGTGGGCTAATAAGAGTTACTCTTAGCTTTTTCTCTTCAATGTACTTGCCATCATCTTTAGCAAACTGTAAATGAAAAAAATGAGAAACGAATACAAAATCTTAAAACAACAATTACCAATACTAGAAAATGAGAAACAAATACAAAATCTTAAGGCCAACAACAATTATCAAGACTAGAAAATGAGAAACGAATACAAAATCTTAAGCCCAACAACAATTACGAAGACTAGAAAATGAGAAACAAGTATAAATCTTAAGGCCAACAACAATTACCAAGACTTACCATGCTAGCTGTAATATCCTCATCAGTTGTCCCAGAAGAAACAATTGTGCTTTGGATTAAGAACTTATCTCTGCATTCCATATCAGGTGGAGCTGCCCTTGGAGCTTGCATTGTAACTACGTTGATAGTCAGAGTCAAAATTTTTAAACAAGACTGATTAAAGGAGAAAACAATCAGAAAATAGAATGCAGAGTAAGACCAAACAAATGATTCCATTACAAATCTATCTAAAGCAGATAATTGCAATGGTACTTTACTCTGTCCATGAGGATAGAGCATGAGTAAAAATGTCAAAGTGCAACCCCAGTATAGCATATCATGATTCATAAAACAAATAATTTTTTTTTCTTCTATTTAAGCCAAAAATCCAGTAGTGAAACTTAAGCTTGAAATTTCATCCTTCTGTACACGTTGATGAAGAAATGCTTACATGCAAAATCAAACATCAGTACACGCTTACAATGTACTAGGTGATATAAATGAAAAGGCATACCTGAAAATTCAGAAGTAGATTTTGGTAAGATAACACCAACATTTGGTCGCACACAGTATTTCTTAGGGGATGTAGTTTTAACCTGCCAATGTCATTGCTAAGTTACATTTGGTCACACACACACACACACACACACACACACACACA